TTAATATGGTGGATACCGGGCTTGAGACTCCTGTCGGTTTCCGTCCTCACCGCAATGCTACTTCCACCCACAAGCAAGCCCTTTGGCCCTACTGCACTGTGAAGGTTCACCCAGTAACTGAGAAGAAGACCTATGAGCTGTCTCCGTATTTGGACATTCTTCATCGCATATTCTGTGAGACTCTCTTCCCTCGAATCGGGAATCTGGATATGGTCCACTTTTACCTCGTGGACATGCTCCTTTTCTGTCAGCATGAGAAGGAAGCAAGCACTGGAGAGAGCCTGGATATCTCTCATGTTATGTGGTCTGAACTTCTATCTGCCGTGTCTGAGCGCAAGTGTCCTATCTATGGTCCATTCATCATGAGGCTCATTGAGAGGGCCTGGGCACAGACTTATCCCAGAGTGCTGCTAGAGACTGGAGACTTGGTTTCTCATGAGATCAAGCGTTTGAGGAAGAAGGACAACTGGACAGCGCCTCACACAGGGGGTCCATCTGCTACTGCTGCCACAGGGAACCCGTCTGCTGCTGCTGCTGCTGCCATGGGGACCGAGGGTGAGGCTGCTACTGATGCTCATGAGGAGGACTTTGGGCCCTCTAGTGCAGAACCGTCGTGGGCACAGAAGCTTAAGCGCAAGATGAAGAAGTTTTTCTGCATGGAGTCCCATGGTCAGTACATGACTCATGTGGCGGAGAAGCATGCCAGGACGCGCCACAAGGAGCTCATGCGTCAGATGGGAGCAACAGTTGCCAGTGGGTCTGAGGGTCAGATCACTGAAGAGGAGGACTGGATTCATTAGAATTGCCACTGGACCGACTCCGATGCTGAGCAGTTTTCGACCCACGATGAAGATGCAGAGATGTGATGTTCGAGATTTTCCTCCTCCCATCACCTGGAGTCGTAGTGTCACTCTATGCCCTTTTTGGTGTCTCGCTGCCAAAGGGGAAGAGAGTGTAGGGATTTGCTTCTTGTGTCGTGCTTTGAGTCGTTTTGTGTTTTCTTGTGTGTTCCTTCTTTGGTTTGGTTTGGTGTGAGACCTAAGTCCTAGTCATATGGTGTAAGACATATGCTCCCTATCGCTACCTTATTACTTATGTCATTTCAGAGTACTATAGTTTTTTGTGAGATGCATGCTTGTCCTGTTTACTCACTTCTCTCATATATATTGTGCTTAGTATTGTTCGACTATAAAATATAGGGGGAGTGTTGATCCGAATGTGTGTGTCGTGCCATCTCTAGGTGCACACATTCTGGGGGAGCCCGTCTATATTTTGTAGTTCTTAGTTTTCTTCGTTTCATTTCTTTTCCTTGCGCAAATCCCTTGTTGTCATCAATCCACCAAAAAGGGGGAGATTGTTACGGCATATCTCTCTCAAGGTAGTTTTGGTGATTGATGACAACAAGTTTGCGGACTAATCTTGTACTTTAAATTATTCACAGATTCTCCCCTGGCACGAGACGCCTTCTTCCCCTCGGAGTGTATTTCAAGACGGTGTAGCTCTTTCGTTTCTTTCTCGGTGGACTAGTTGCATAGAGGGCACCGTACTATCAAGAGGGGGTCCGCTGGGGTTTTGCATGGGTGGAATCATCACGTACACATCAGCTTCTCACCCTCCGAGCTTTTCCTGTCCATTGAAGAGATCTCTCCTCTCTTCCTTGTCCTGTCTGGGTCTAAGCGGCAGTACCGCGCACCCAGCGGTAGTACCGCTGAGAAGCCACAAGAGGCAGTACCGCTCCGCAACGGTAGTACCGCCGTGGCTCCACAACAGTAGTACCGCTGGGGGCCTGGCACCTCCGCCTGGTCCTCAGCTTCTTTGAGAGATCCCTTCTCCCTCTCTCTCTCTCCCCAGTGGTAGTACCGCACTGCCTGCGGTACTACGGCCGAAGGGTCACAAGCGGCAGTACCGCTCCACAGTGGTACTACCACCCTTGACCCCACTGCCGTAGTACCGTTGGGCAGTCTGGCTCCTACCGCCTCGATTCGAGAGGTCTTTTTCTCGTGTCGGGTTTTGCGGCACTAGTCACGGTTGTAGTGGTGGTAGTACCGTTCCTGGAGCGGTAGTACCGCCCTACCACCGCGGTAGTACCGCAGAGTTGGATCTGTTCCCTACTAGTCTCCTCAGCGCGGCAGTACCGCTGGCTGGGGCGGCAGTACCGCTGTCCTGGCGGTAGTACCGCCCCCTCTCAACGGTAGTACCGCCCTGTGCGGGGCTGGTTGGTGGGGGGCAACGGGATTGTTGCCCCCACTATAAAAGGGAGTCCCCTTCTTCCTTCTCACCTACCTCTTCCTCCCCCAAGCTCCATTTATTTCTCAAGCTCCATTAAATACTCCAAGCTTCATTTCCGCCCGATCTATCTCTCTAGCCAATCAAATTTGTTGATTTGCTCGGGAGTGGTTGAGAAGGCTCCGATCTACACTTCCACCAAGGGATTTTCGATTCCCCCACTCATCCCTAGCGGATCTTGTTACTCTTGGGTGTTTGAGCACCCTAGACGGTTGAGTTCACCTCGGAGCCATATTCCATTGTGGTGAAGCTTCGTGGTCTTGTTGGGAGCCTCCGATTAAGTTGTGGAGATTGCCCCAACCTTGTTTGTAAAGGTTCGGTCGCCGCCTTCAAGGGCACCAATAGTGGAATCACGACATCGCGTATTGTGTGAGGGCGTGAGGAGAATACGGTGGCCCTAGTGGCTTCTTGGGGAGCATTGTGCCTCCACACCGCTCCAACAGAGACGTACTTCCCCTCAAAAGGAAGGAACTTCGGTAACACATCCTCATCTTCACCGGATCCACTCTTGGTTATCTCTTACCTTTACTTGTGCAAGCTCTTTAGTGTTTCTCCCCTTGCTTGCTTGTATGCTTGTTGTTATTGCATCATATAGGTTGCTCACCTAGTTGCACATCTAGACAACCTATTTTGATGCAAACTTTAATTTGGTAAAGAAAAGCTAAAAATTGGTAGTTGCCTATTCACCCCCCTCTAGTCAACCATATCGATCCTTTCAACTGGTGCTATCAGTATTGCGCGTGACCCGGTGAAGCATGAGCTCACCAAGCACATCGGTGTGGATGCCCATTTTGTGCGTGCTGCTGTGCAGGATCAGACTCTCGCTTTTCACTATGTGCCCTCTGAGTTACAGTTGGCGGACTTCTTCGCGAAGGCACAGACTCGAGCGCAGCATAGTTTTCTTCTCTCCAAACTCAGTATTGTCGATCCACCATGAGTTTGAGGGGGGGGGGTGTTAGATATGTATACCCCTTTTTGGTTTACCCCCATTATATAAGGGGTCTCTTGCACTTTACCACACACATGTATATGTATTGGCCTTTGGCCCTCCTGTGAATGCAGTTGCTGTTTCTCCAACACCTTTGACGCCGACGCAGGCCATCAAAAGCTCTGCCCTGTCATCCGGACCTACGACTACCGTAAACTCCAGGCCGCGTGCGACGGTCTCCTCATCGTCTCCCATGGACCCATGGAAGATGTCCAGACTGCAAGACGACCCGACAAGCAGTGATGAAGCATGAGTAGTGGAAGACGGGGTGGGCGACAAAATACGTGCAGTGCCGTGAGGAGGTAGATCGACGTCAACTCTCACTCCCAAGGAGCAAGCAGCTTATTTTGTGAGGGGAATGAGTGGGAGGATGATGACGGGTCGATCAAACAGTCATGTGGTCTGCGATCCAATAGGTGGAGAGGTGAACGATCCACCCCTCAAATCGGGGTTTTCTTACACAATGCCGTGCATTAGGTACTTGTAGCTGCATTATTTGGGACGTGAAGTTTTTGTGCCTGAGCTCATTTGAGCTGGGTGAATAGTAAAATCGAAAAACATTTTAAAAATGTAAAAAAAACTGATTTTTTTCCGGCAAACTTTGACAAATATTCTAAGAGGTTGCACAATTTCATTGCGAAATCACATTTATGAAAGTCGGGCAAAAAAAACAAAATCAATACTCTGAAAATGCTACTTTCGAAAGCATTTTGTAGCACTGATTTTGTTTTTTTTGCCACGACTTTCACAAATGTGATTTCGTGATGAAAATTTGCAAACTTTTTGAACATTTGTCAAAGTTTGCCAATAAAAAATCCAGATTTTCTTGAACATTTTTAAATGCTTTTAAGTTACTGTTCATCCCGAACTCATTTGAGCTCAGGTGTAGAAGGGTACTTTCGCATTATTTGATTCTTTAAAAGCTTATTTCATTATTCAGTGTGAAAAAGGGCCAGACGGGAACAACCGAACAAGGGACACCCAAACCCTATCACCGCCGCCCCCCTCAAATTCCTAACATATCCCGCTGGAACACCGTGATATCTCGCCGGGGTGCCCTCTTCCCCGACGCCGGTAAACAGATTCGCTGCCCAAACCGGCCGTGCGAGGTGATCTCGGAGCACGCTGCCCGCCGCGTTCTGATTCATTTTCGTCTCCATCTATCGATTTGTTTTCCCTCAAATCGTTCTTGTCTTTGTGTTCAGAGTCGCTGGAAATCAGCACCGCCGCCGCAGGGGGTTCGCAATGCTGCCATAGCCCGCCATCGTCCGCCCCGCCCCAAGTAAACCTTCTCGCCTCTCCGTGCGCCAGAGATCCGTCACGCGCCATCCTTACGTTTCCCCTTTTTATTCTTACAGTTCACTGGAATCTGATCTGACGGAGCACCGGCGACCAGCGAAGCCTCAGGCCCAACGGGGTTTTGACCACCAGATTGTTGGCTTCTACCGGCACCAACCATCCGGAGGAGAATTCCGAGTGCTATGGATCTCTAGGCCGACGAAAATCTACAATCCATACGACGCAAATTACAGAACTTTCTACTACGTCATAGCGGTGGGATCCGATAATACAAGATGCATCAGACAAGGATGCATCCCACAACCAACATCCTCGTCGCATTCCTTGGAGCTGGCTTTACGCAGGGGTCTGCCTGGTTCGTCCCAGTATCCACCAGTCCACCACCGTGGGGGCCTGCACTGGAGACTTAGAAGATACCACGGCTGGGATGCCCGACTACATAATGGTGTTCAACACATCAGCTGAAACATTTCGGTTGATGTCTCGTCCTGCCCGATTGTCCAACTGCTTACAGGAGTCATTGCTGGAGATGAATGACACTCTTGCTTTGTGCAGCATCAGCAGTGACAAACGCACCGTAGATGTCTGGGTGTTACAGGACTATGATGCTAAGACCTGGTCTTTCAAGCATCGGATTAATTTGACTGGGGTGGATCCATCAGCGCTTGTTGATCGAGAGGTGATAATGAGCCCTAGGATGGCTGCTCTCAATGAGGGTGTGCTGCTGGTCCAGTTCACTTGTAGGCGTGTGTTGCATTTTGACATAGATGGCAAGTTCTTAGGATATGTGAAGAGCAAAGATGACCAAGAAATCGACTTGTGGGTTACCAATCATTACCTCCAGGGGAGCGTTATTCCCCTTCCACTGTCCCATGAGATGAGAGAAGAAGATAGTGAAAATCAGGAGCCTCCATTTTTCGTAGGACTGTAGGATGCAGTGCTTAATCTCGATGTTCTACACTGCTGGTTTGCTTTGCCAATGGACCATCTATTCTGTACGAGCCTTGTCTTTTGTTCTTAGTTGGTCTTTTTAGTGCTGCTTGTAGAACTGAACAATTTGGATGGTAGCAGAGCACCTCTGGTGTCTATTATCTTGCCTTTAGCATCATGTTTAAGTTCCAAACTATGGAGAATCTTTGCTATATGACTAGTATATTTTATACCCCTCGTTTACTTCCAGTTTGCATTTTTTTAGAACCAAGAGAGGCATGGTTGCAATTAGGAACAGATAGTTGCTCCTAAGATATTATCTGGAATGACACTACAGAATCAGTACAGCAATGGCTAGACATCCTGCTTTCTTTATGACAAAACAGGTGTTGGTACACATGTCATCGTGCTTTCTTTCAGTCTTATTTTGAGTGAATAATTTTGGTTGAGTCGTTGAAATGGTTAGTATGGATCCTTCCTTCCAAGTTTACTAGTTTGATCCTTGCTCAGTGCAATTTTGTCCTAAGCACCTGACATGGTTGCTCGTGCTCCTTCTGTGGCAATGCTTTATTCAGGCAAACTTGCACGACTTAATTCAGTTTGGTACTCAGCACAATTTTGTGTCCATCGATATTTTTGTACAGTTATTGTTGAAAATCTTAGCAAGTAATTTTGGTTCCTTTGCTTTGACATGTTTTGAGAAAGAATCGTACTGGTTCCTGGTCCCTCTTTGCCTGAATAAATATTTTTAATTTACATAGTGATAACTTGATTACTCGATGCTTTTTTATCTGAACTCTTAGGTCATATATGGAAAGTTCCAGCAGTTCCAATGTTTTTTGTGTGGGTAGACATGTATAATTCTGCATACTCCTCTTCATGTGGACTAACTGTTCAAATGTTAAATTCAGTCTCAACTATTTAAAATATGATATATACTTCTAGGGATGCCCAATAAGACCTCAGATAATCTCAAAGGTTAACTTCATTGTTTTTCATCTGATATACCCTTGGTTGCTGTGTGAAAAACAATGCGAAAGGAACTTCCGAGAATGAAAGTGGAGACCTCTCTTACCCAGAGTTTTCTCTCTCTTTTTTTACGCAGACTCAGTTCATAGCTTTGGGACACACTGATACGATAACATTCCCCCAGTCAAAAGGTGATACGATCTGTTTGCAGAATTCTTTATTCTTAAGATGCTTCTATCCACATGATTTGCAGAGCACATTTTCCTTCAAAATTATACTGGCAGCTTGAACAACTACGTACCATGAATATATGTAGTGCAAGTGGGAATACGTACATTTATATTTTTCCTGTTTCTTTTCCTCGTTTCCAAAAGAACTGAACAACATATGGCGCTATGCTTAAAGCAAATAGAACTACGGAATGATTCCTAGACTTTGTCTTGCATCTTTGGATCAAAATGATACTGTTATAGTTCCAGGGTTATGTAATATGAGATTTAGGTGGTCTTTGTTGAGAAACAGGTTCCATGGGTATGATCTAGTTGCACCACGGTCACGAGCACCCTAGTTGTCAGACAATGATCTTTGTTAGTACTACTACTATGCTCACGGGAGCAGCTCCGGACATGTCTTAACGGAAGGCAATGATGGTGTTCAGCCTTCTGGCGTTTTAGTGTTTCCTCTTGCGATATGTAATTTGTACAGCTGCTCGTGTGTTAGACTGAAGAGCTCTTGTTCATCTTGCGTCTTAGCCTTAATTTGTAGTGCTGCGTGGCATGCTTGTACGTACTTGTTAACAATGCATCTTGGGCTATGAAGGCAGCCAATCTTGTTGTACTTTACCGGTGAACCTGAACTGAGCTGGGCTCTCAACTGTGTACTTAGACTTTGCTTTCTATGTAAGCAGTATGGTAATCCTGATTCTGCTGGATGGATGGATGCTAAACGCTAACTACGAAGTATGATCGATAGAGACCTGCTTGTGCATAGTGTTTTTTTCTCCATTCTCATATAGTTTCTGAACTTTTTAGAATATTTATCATATAGTTCCAGTTCAGAACATAGACAGTCGAACCTGCATATTTTTCTTAGGTTGGAACCTGGTCATTTTCCGATAGTATGAAAAAAAAGCACATGCAAACTATGAGAGTGGTGGTTTGGATCCCATGCGCATTTCAGCTCAGTTTTCCGAAAAACAAAAATGAAAGTTTTTCGCTTTCTTTTAAATCTCACATATGCATACATGAGGACGCGCCATATACAATTTCATGATAAATTAGTTCACTTATGCTTTGTATAAATAAAAATTATGGATCTACAATACTCCATCCATTTCAAAATACTTGAAGTTATATAATACTCACATAGAGCATTATGAGTGCCCACCTTACCGATGGAACAAGAGATCGTAGGTACACCAGGCCCCCCAAGTTCCGTCCGGATCTTTCCTTGAAATGGATAGCTGGATATAATAGCCATATGTTTCTTCATTAGCATCAATAACAGGTATATGCATAAGTAGGAACTTTTAAAGCATCCCCCTCAAAGAAGGAACTTTTATGGCATCAATAACAGGTATAAGTAGCGGATATTGCCTTTGGAGGCCAAGCTCCATGGAGCTCGGTTTTGAAAAATTCAAAATATGTCTAATTTCATATTTTCTATGTTTCAAAAAATTCTGAAAAAATACAGACATACATGGAGGCACAACACACGTATGTAAAATTTCAGTGCAAAATACGTTGAAATGAGAGCTGCGCAAAAAAGACAAATTTGGGGCTTTTTAACACATGATACTTTCATTCTCTCAGGCCATGAATTTGTCTTTTTTGTACAGGTCACATTTCAATGTATTTCATCCTGAAATTTTACACACATATACATAAAATCCTTGTTTATTTGTACAATTTCTTTTAGATTTTTTTGAAACCAAACAGTTTGAGTTTTGAATTTTTTTAAAAGGCCTCCATGGAGGCCGAGAGCCAAGCGTCCGTTCTCGTATAAGTAGGAACTTTTATAGCATCAATATTGTTTCGAATCGAGATCGAGAGAGGATCGAATGAATCAACTGTCAATTCCATTGAATGATTCTCGGTATGTATACAAGGGGAACAGACACGATCGAGAGATGCGACTGTTCGTAGAGGTGCAAGGGGAGAGGTGCGACGGTTGCCAATGCAACCGAAGTACAGATTACAATGGGAGGATTATCTCTTTAATTAACCTATTAATTTAATCCTAACACTCCCCCTAATCCTTCCTTGTCTTTGCAATCGACCATCTCTGGAATCATCCTTGAATTAACTCTTCTCCAAAAACCCTGTGGGAAAAATGTGAGAAGTATTGCAATATGATATGCTGGTAAAACTTCTTCAAACCCAGTGGGAAAAATAAAGAGAAAATGGTGCAACATATAATGGTTATTGTCTTTTTTAACTCAATACGAGAAAACCCATAGAGTTCAGAGGACAATAAATATGTCGTATATACTTTCCTAAAAATCCCGGTGGGGAAAACTGAAAGTATGACATATGATCTCATGTTGATATTACCTCATTAAAAACCTTTATGAGAACCTGTAAAGTAAACTCATGAAGGGAAAAAGAGTATAATATGATGCACTGAACATGAACAATTCAGGAAGATACTCTCCCTAATTCTTGCAAAATTTGAAGCCGTCACCTACCAATTCCATGAACACATTTCTGGAACATAGAAGTTGGTAGAAACCCGATGAAAAAATCAGTCGCATGATTTGACTTGCAAGATATGCAATATAGTGATATTGCTTATTATGTAACCTATTTGCATCCGGGCAACACAAGAAACATTATCGTTGAGATAATGGTTGGTGGATGTAGCCATGAGGTCTGTTTCGAAGACTCTTCATGAGAGTGCTACCACACCTAGTAGGAACACAAAGCTTGTCTATGATCTGACATAGTGGGGATCTGATCGATGTACCCAATGATATCGGTGTTCACATTTTTGTGAAACTAAAAACCAGGACAAGATGTTTGATGCATTGGAGATATCGAAAGATATTCTTGAGCACCAACCAATTGTGTTTGGTGGATCCAATGGCATTATGGAATGTTGAGTCCCAATATCTCATTTCCATCATCTCTTGGTCTAAATAGATCATTCTCTATGTCTAGAGAATGAACTACCATGAGAGTTATGGATGGATAAGATTTGTCCACAATGAATTTCTCCAATATATTTTGGATATAGACAAAATGGTGTACCATAATGTATGAATGAAGGTGCTCAAGTTGTAGTAATGAGCGGTGTTTTGGTTTACCCAAATCCTTCATTTTAAACTCCGTCATTTAGATGATTACATGTGTCGTCATTGCAGACACACAAACATGGACAATCATCATCGTAGGAGTAATCCTTGTGTATAAGGAACTCACTACGTCGGTTATACCAAATGTACCGACAATAATAAGCCATAAGGTGACTTATTGATTTTACACAATGTATGTTGCGTATTGCATTTCGATTCAGAAGTGAGATTCCATCAGGAATCAACCATATATGTCTGAATCTAGTGATCCACATGGGTATGTGATCACTACATCTATCAACTGCAGAGATAGATGATTTTGTACTGTCAATGATATAAGTTATCGGAAAGAGATTCCACCTCTGGAGAATAGTTGGGTATCTGCGTGAACCCTTGTGCTACAATGCTTTGCTCTATGTCTCACCACCTTGTTGTTCTCAATTCTGTTTCCAGAAGGAAATTGGTGTAGGTATTGCTTATGAATACCTTCCCATTATTGAGCAAGATCATTTCTACCTAGATTATACCCTTTGCTTGAGTTCAGTCCAAGTGTTGTTCACACTTTGCCATGGCCATGGTCTTTGGACCTGAATCATGTGAAAGGTTTTGCAATCTAGTTAAGAAATGTATGTCGAAAATTGTAGACTTCCGGTTATTTGATTCTCCAAAATCTATATATCAATATATAGTTGATGGAAATATCATTACCCATGGTGACTACTCGCAATTTCCCAATGTGA